CCCCAGCATGCTGGCTGGGGAATTCTGGGAGTTGAAGCCCACCCATCTTAGAGTTGCTAAGGTTGAGAAACCCTGCTCTAGAGTCACATTAAACAACGAAGTAACATTAACTATGGAAAAATGTCACTTCCAAAAGAGATTAAAGCCTCTCGGGCTTTTCCTGCGGCTGTTCTGTGTTGGCTCTGCTTGGACCTTCCTGTCCTGGTATCAGATGTGAAGGAGGGGTGCTGCCTCCCCCCATTTTGTGCACTATACACTCACAGAGTGAGCCCGCCCAAAGTGGGGGGGGGACGGGACACCTTGCTTTTTATCTTCTGGCAGTGGAAATGCCTAAGCATTTATTTGGCTCTCTGAAATATTCTGTAGAGAAATTCAGTTGAGGACAGGAGCGGGGTTTGATTTGATACTGTTGGTTGTCGCTGTGCTGTCTTGCATGATGAACTCACAGTGGACTGTGGAGATGTGCTTCTCCCATCTTGATCATCACGCTCTCGCTTTCTCCTGATGTGGGCAGGCAAAGTCAATGCTGAACCTGAGCAGCAGAAGGAAGAGAGGTCGGCTGCCAAGTCACCAGCTTCTTCCACGGACCCAGAGTCTCCTCTTAGTCCTCCTGGTCACGAGAGGGCCAGCAAGGATTCTGAGCCAGCCAGAGGACAGCAGAAGGACAAGAAAAGGTAGTGGTTTTGTTTTTGTTTTCTTCGCTGACCAGGGCTGCAAGGTGTTGGTGTGTTTCAGTCATTCATATGATTTATTGCACCCTGTATACCAGTGTTTCATGATCTCGGCAACTTTTGGATGTGTGGACTTCAGCTCCCAGAATTCCCCAGCCAGCATGAGTGGACTTCAGCTCCCAGAATTCCCCAGCCAGCAGGGGTAGACTTCAGCTCCCAGAATTCCCCAGCCAGCAGGGGTGGACTTCAGCTCCCAGAATTTCTCTGACCTAAAGGCCATAATAAAAGTTTTGAATTTGAATTCCCTGAATTCCCCAGCCAGCACATGAGAATGTGCAGGAAAAAATACTTGGAAGAATAGCATGCCTTTTTAAAATAATAAAAAGAATAAGTAATTCAGCTTAAGACCATTACTTGCCTTGCTTCAATTTTTAATAGTAGGCAGAATAGCACTTGCTAAAAGTTGTAAAATTTATATGCAAAGGAAAACCTAACTTCTGTGCCTACAAAGGGTACTTATTATGGGAGTATTGTTTAAGAGGCTCTCCATTCAGCTGTTTATTTTTTTAAACAACCTTTTTAAAAGGTTGTCCTCTAGCCCAAATCAGAGGGGGCTGGCTGGCTGGCTGGCTGGCTGGCTGGCTGGCTGTCATCATCCTAAGCTAGGAACAGTCCGGTTGTTGAGACAAAATCCTTCTCTGAGCTTGTTTCCCAAGCGCTCTCAGTCACCAAGGCCAGGGTTCCTTGGGTTTGGTTCCCTACTACGTTGCATGTATCCTGCCCGGTTGTGTGTGTGTGGGCTTGTGCGTACTTGCCTGTTTCTTCATGTCCTATTTCTGAATTAAAATTGTGTATTTTCTGAAATTGCAGTTACCCAGCTCTGGGAATTCTGTATTTGGCAAAACTTTCATTTTTCTTCCGTCTAAGCTGATCTCTCTTTCTCCCAGAGCAAAGAGGACAGAGTCATCAGATGAGGAGGAAAAGGGAGCCAAACGCTTGAAGAAGAAAAGACGTCGAATCCAACAGCCTCGGTCGGACAGCAGCAGCGAGGACGAGGGTAAGCAGGAACCAGAGTGGGGACCACCAACCCCTCAAGTCAACCCTTGAAGCCCATCCCTCGTAAATCTTCGGCTGGGCTTCCCAGGCCGCAAATATGCGGAGGGCACCAAGGTCGCAGACAGGCCATCAAGCAGTCCTGAGTGGTCCCCCTTCTGTGAGAAAAGTCACCGTCGCTTCTCTTTTTCCTTGCGGGGTGATACTGTTGGTCATTAAGCAGGCATAACATTGATCATCACAAGGGAAATGCAAGTGCATCTGGTGAAAATAATTGCATTTATACAAATATCTGGGGGATTATTTTGACAGATTATCCCACTGTCTGGCTTCCAGACAGTTTCTGGAAATGTACAGTTGCAGTAGTAGGAAATAGGTGACTGAAAAATGATGGAATAGTAGCAAGGGCAACGAGATAGGTTTCCAGTTGTACAGGATGATTCTGACCAGCTTCCTTCAACCTGGATGCACTCAGGGTGTGTGGACCAACTCCCAGAATGCTCTTGCTAGCATGGCTATTACTGACATTCTGGGACTTGAAGTTCAGATGTCCAGAAGGTACCCAGGATGGGAAAGGCTGCTACTGATTATTTAAAAATGTGTAGAACTTTGACCTGCCACGCATCTCGGACTCTGCTGTAGGTGCTTTCACCCAGAACTTCTTGCCCTTTGCCTGGGGCCACTCAACACCCTGGGTGGTCAGAATTACAATGTGGTTGTAATATGTTAATTGGAAGCCTGTATTTGCATTTTGAGTATAACTTCTGCATATACATGCAGACAGTAACAACAGAAGGTCAAGTCAAGCCTGAATATTATTCCTGCATTTGTATTTGCCCCATATAAATGGCGCCGCTGGGCCAAATACTTCTTTGCAGGTCTTAGGTTTGCTTTTTCTTTTAGATAGATCAGAGAATAAGTAATGTAAAAGGAAACTTGTCTGAAGTATCTCTCAGCCTTAAAGGGCCAGATACTTAATTGTTTTCTTAAAAAGGTGAGTTACTCAGCTTGAAATTCTCTGCTGTTCCATTTCTTGTAGGGTTCTCTGTGCATGAACCTGGGAAGCTGTAACAATTTTGCCTTGAAACTTCAGAGCAATGATCTCTCTTGGACCTCAGTTTAGCTCCTTGGTTAGAGATTGTTGTGACTTTTCCTAGGGTTCTTGTGTTATCCCATGGAGAGCCGAGTTCCAGCCAGGTTCTTGTAACACCACAAATCCGTTGGTTTTTGTGCATGTAGGTTTCAAAGTGTCTGAACTGCAGGATTGAAAATAGAGCTGCCATCTTGCATTCACCTTAACAGAGGTCCTCTTCTTCCTGTTCCAGAGGGTTGGAACAGGAGGCTGCAGTAGGTGTTAATAAGAATTTAAAAATGGGATCTTGAGTGAGTGGAGGGTGTGATGCAATGAATGAGCAAACAGCAAGGCAGTCAAGAGAAGTAAAGGAAACCTGCTATTAAAATTTAGCGTTTTCCATCAGTTCAACACAGCAGAACAAGGGATACAAAGCTAGATAATACGCTGGCTGATTCTGCAAATACACAAGAAAGCTGATTCTTGAAGGTCACTTGCAGAAGGCTACTTCCCAAATCTGGTGCCTTCCAGGTGTGTGGGAATTATTCCCAGAATTCCAGTCAAAATAAGGCCAGGAGTCTAGAACATAAGAACATCTGATAACCCTGCTAGGTCAAGCCACTGAATCTAAAAGTGTTTATATAGTCCTTATGTAAATTTACAATGGTTAGGAATATTTTACACGGTTCTGGAGGCCATACCTTTAAAAGTTATCATAGAGCTGGAAAAATTGTCAGGCAGGTAAAATTATTAGGGAGCTATAGCAGCTCCCTGTGAAGAAAGACAATAATTGGTGGGGACGAGGTTATTTTGGAGCAAAGGACAGTAAGGGTAGATGTGGTGAAGGCGTATAAATGATATGGAAAGTGGACAAAGAATTTTTCTCCTCTGATTCATCCATCAGAGTTCATTGTGGGAGATTCAGAACCAATCACAGGAAGTACTTTATACATAATTTCCCTGAAATGTTCTGCCATCATGTATAGAGATAGATAGTAATTTAGATGGAGGGTCAGTTAGCGGTTTCTCGTCTTAAGGGATGTTGACACCCTTTTGAATCACAGGCAAATGGTCTATCAAGTTCCAGCTACTAGAAAAAACCCTTGCAAGCAAGCTCTTGGGTTTAGTTTTGTGAATCCATCTGGCTGGCCAGTGTGTGATAAAGATGATGGGCTTGACCTGATCCAGCAGGAATTTTCTTATCATCAGTTATCATAGAGCTGGAAAAATTGTCAGGCAGGTAAAATTATTAGGGAGCTATAGCAGCTCCCTGTGAAGAAAGACAATAATTGGTGGGGGCGAGGTTATTTTGGAGCAAAGGACAGTAAGGGTAGATGTGGTGAAGGCGTATAAATGATATGGAAAGTGGACAAAGAATTTTTGCCACATCTCTCTCCTTAGGTAAGATTTCCCCTGATCTAGGGTAAACATTGTGGTAAGTTTTAAGTCTCTAAGCCAGTGTTTCTCAAACTTGGCTGCTTTAAGATGTGTGGACTTCAACGCTGCTGGCTGGGGAATTCTGGGCGTTGAAGTCCACACATCTTAAAGCGGCCAAGTTTGAGAAACACTGCTCTAAGCCATTTAAAACTGGCAGTGAACAATCAAGGCTGTTCCTCATCTGATGACTTAAGTCATTTTAAAGTTTCTTGAAGCTCTAAATCCTTGCTTTTCACACACGTACATCACACTCAGGAAAAAAAGCCAGTTGTGTTACCGCCAGTGGGATGCATGAACCTAGATGCTGACTTTGGTGTGTTACGTTTTTTTCCAGACGTGCACGTATCTTTTTTCTATTTAATTGTTTCTTGTTTTTAATATGTAAGCCACCCGGAGTTGTCTGGAGTTGGGTGGTCTCCAAATTCAATAAGCCGGGGTTCTCTGCTGCTGCTGCTGTTTAGGCTGTTCACCTGCCTCTTTCCCCTCCCCACCCAGGAAAATGTGGCTTCTTTTCAAAGTCAGGCAACATTTGACTGGAGGTTTGCCACTCAGCTTCACCCCAGATGTTGCTGACCTAACAGAGCAAGCCACGTATCTTGTGGCTATTCTATGAGCAAAACAGAGTTGCTCAACAGAAGTGGACAGAAGGGGAGATTGGACAGTGTTTGGCCCAGTGTTTCCTTGCCTTATATTAAGCAGATAGGTCAGTGTGGCATGGCGGTGAAGGTATCGGAGCAGGGAGAGAGCCATGTCCTCCCTCAGTCATGGATGCTCGTTGAGTGACTTTAAATGTGGAAGGAAAGGATACAGCTGAAGACACCCATGTGTTAGCAAGTCAAAATTACAGTGTTGTTCCTTTTTCTTCTTGCAGATGCTTCCTCATCGCCTCAAGACGTTTCTCCTGAGCCGGCTCTGAAGCCACAGCCAGCACCTGCACCAGTGGAGGTAAATATATCTAAACACGGGTGTGTATGAGAGAGAGAAAGGGAAAGAGTGAGCTCTGGGTGTGTGTATCTATTGCAAATTCCGAGTGAAAATTCCTGAGTAGTGTCTCCTGCCCCAAAGGATGAGAGATGCTTAGCAACCAGAAAGCAGAGTATCTGTACAGGAATAAATGGCCAGGTTTGACATTATGGATGGGTCTGTTTGGGACAGGGGCTTTTTCACTGGAGTTGAAAGGGAAAGAGGACTGCTCCAAAAATAAATGCCAAACTGGGGAATATAATTGATAATAACTGATTGAAGGACCTAACTGAGGAAGTGGAAGTAGCCCTCATATAGGGGAAAGGGGATTCTGTAAGACTCTGTGTGCCCTGGTTGTTTCCTTGTGAGAAGACTAGTACATGAGGCACAGTTACCCCACTTTTGTGAAATACAATATTTGCTGCATTCTAATATAGTTGAAAGGCCCACATTGTCAGTGACCAACAATTGTGCTTGTTAAATGTGGTTAAATGTGGCAGGGACTCAACATTTTCTTCCTTTGTACTGTCGTCTTTCAGGCTTCCATGGGAGAGAAGAAACACAAGCGGAAGCGTGTGTTGAAGTCCA